ACGGGGTTACTGTTGGGATGGATAGTGAGCAGGGTGTCCAAATACTGCCACTGTGGTTCTTTCAGTTTACTCTTAATACTCAGAATTTATGCTTGCCAACAATTTCTCACAAAATGCTTTCCTAAACAACACACAACTGAATTATTACCAGGGATGCAAATATTGGCCACAAAAAAAGAGGTTAAAGAAATTAGTACATTCAACTCAAGAAAGTATGTGAAAGATAACATTCCACTCTAAATAATTTTTCTCCATTTTGCAACAAGAATTGTGACCTATGCTATATAATACTTCATTTTACATGCCAGGAGTCACATGTGCTATTACTGTGATTGTTTTGCACAGTGCCTTGGGCTAAAACCGGTTAAGTAACTTGCCCAAGGTTACAGGGCTGTCAAGAGCCAACCCTGGCCATCTGATTTGAAATGGTATTACTGCTATTCCATACCACACGTCAGTGGGACTGAGTCATGATTACCTCACATTCTTGTGATTGAGACATTAAAGGCACACAGTACAGATGTTCTTCCTAGGTGTTTGCTTGCTTTAGAGATATTACAGGTTGTCTAATGTGGACTAAGTCATTATGCATTTGAGTTACTTTATGCTCCCAAAGTTAAAATGTGTTCAATTCATATGTCAAAAGCATAAAAAATGTTTCGGCTCCTTCTATAATTTAAATAAACAAGATTCCTTAAAGGAACCTATATTTTGAGTATATAAAAGAGAAAACTTCCCTTTTCCTTCCTCCTTAGAACTATGATTACAAAGAAACTGTAGTTTCCTTAAGTTGTGATCACTTGCTAAGTAGCATCATAAACTCCATATACTATATCTAGGCAGTAACAGAATGACCTCCTCAGAGAGATATTGACTGTTAAAGACAGAAAGCTTCGGGGGGTGTGTTAACATTATAAAACAAATGAGTCTCTCCTACTTCTCTATAAAAACAATATAGGGAACTTGGCAAAACACATAGAGATAGATATCTATCTCTCCATGGTGGCATGTATATAAATCTTTTCAGGAAGGAACAGAAGTATGTGTGTGTGTGTGATAAAAAGATGACGAGAATCAGAACTGATGCAGAATTTTGTATTGGGGCGGTGAGCTATTTTTTATTTTTCTTGTCACAGGAGGGTAAGCACCTCATGCAGCTATAGGAAGAAACAATCTAAAAATGGGTTCCTGTATTACTGATATTTTCAGATGAAAAACTGGATGTTTTTCTTTCCATTAAAAAAATCATTGTGAAGCAACATGGTGTACTGAATACGGAGTACACCAGAGCACTCTAGAGCTAGGGAAAGAAGCACTTTTCTGCTTGGAACAGGGATTAACAGAAGCTCCCAGAGCTACTGTATTCACTCCAACAGTTGACTAATAGAATCCTATCTAAAATCCTCATTTTGAACTACAGTTATTAGCACATGGGCAGGAACCACATACTAGCAACAAAACAGACATGCCTAGGAAAGACTACTCACAAGGTAATATGCATGTGTATTTATAGGAACCCTTTTGCTTTATTAAAAATTGAATGCATGACTATTTGAACTCTGCTATTCTTCCAAGATTACTAATAATTTTGAAAAATAACAAATAAAAGTAAATGCTGTGAGATGATGCTATCAACATAAACTACAATTTATAGGAAGTTCAGTCACAGACAAAGCGAAAAAGAGCAGAGACAGACAGTTATCTTCACCAGGAGCCATAGCTTGTGGTTCACGCAACATGATACAATTCAAAACATCGGCAGGTAGAAAGGAAAGTACATTAACAATCCTACCATACTTTCCCCTAGTCTATTTGTTTCATTTCCAAGGAATTAATATTTCATTTTTTCTTACCAAATTAACAAGAGTGAAGTGAAATAATTAAAAAGTAAACCACAAAGCAATATACCTCCCCATGGTCATAAAATAAAGCTATAGCTCTATAGACCTAAAACATAACAATATATCTTCAGCTACACATGCTGCCATAATCTTGCCTTTCTGCTCTATATATTGATAGAAGAGAAGCAGTGAGACCCGAGAGGGAGGAAAGTCAGCGGAGTGCAGCGAGCAGACACCACACAGCTAGAAATATCTCAGTATGAAACTGTGCTAAGGAAAGTCTAGTGAACAGATTTACTACAACACATTACAAAACTATCCTATAAAAGTGGTGTCATTCCCTCTACATCAGTCTCACGAAGCCAACTAACTGATTAGAAATTGCCATATATTGGAACAGGGTCACAAAGGGGAGGGGAAGGTAAGCATTTGACAACCTCTCTATGGATTTCTCCATTTTTTGACACATAAGACATGGTTCTTTGTACTCCTTGGATTAAACTGTTTTACAAAATGAAACCTGATTAGTATAAATCCATCACAGGACTACAAATAATAATTGTCATAGCTATTGCTTGATCCCAGCATCCCCCTCAATTAAGCGTTACATAATTTGTTCATTTCGCAGGATTCATAATGTCAACTGAAACAACTAGAAATGGATCACTAGAGCTGCTATTCTGGAAGAACAGACTGTAGTAAAAGCAGCATTAACTTGTACACCATACATTAGTAACTCTGAACTTCAGTAAACAAATATTTCCCTAATATCCATGATAAACACAGTGAATGCAATTTAATATACTGAAATTATTGAAATTTGAGGAACAACATTGAATTCTCTAGTTCCATTTACTATTTGAATGAGCATTTGATAAATCACTGAACTAAATACAAATCAAATCTACTTTCATTTAGAGTCTTGATTTTCTCTGGAACCAATCTAAGAAAATAAAAAATAGCTGCAATTTAGGAAGGTAACATTACTAATGTTATCTACCAATAAAGGAAATATAAGCAGCCTTTACAAGATTTTTTACTCAGACCTCACTTCTTTTAGAAGCTAAGGTTTGTTGGGTTCAAAGCGTTTGAATTTTGGTTTCAAAATTATCAAAAATAAATTCATATTAACAATAACAAATGTATTACTGAACAGGACTTAGTGCTCACTCTACCTAAATGTTTAAGAAAGCAATGCCTAAACTAGTTATTACCATTTAAATGCTTTTAAAAACAAGATCTTTGTTTCCTATATGGGGTTACACTGCTAAATTTTATGACCTTACGGAGCACAAATTAATATCTCCCATAACTTTTCTTTAAAATGCTTGATAGCCATTACTCAATACAGTTAAACAGTCAAATGTTTCCATGTCAACTGATTTTCCCTGTGTTACATGCAGAATTTTACAATTATTTGGCCAATTAGCAGTTAGACGACTTCTTTACAAATGAAGTTTTATTCCAAATAGCTAAAACAACACTGACCCTCCAACTAGCCCAGCACAGTGCTCCGGATGAACAACCCTGATCCTCCAACTAGCCCAGCACACAGCTCTGCGCCCACACTGCTCTTTAACACTGGGACCTGTGATCAATCATTCATTTTTTTTTTTTTCCGGAGACTGCCAACTTTAACAATAGAGTACCGACACATCAACACACAATGGTATGTGCTACACACACACACACACACACACACACACACACACACACACACACACACACACACACACACACACACACACACACTGAATCCCAGTAGATGTGTAGATGTAGAGGACCCATTCCTTTACAGATTTTTTTGACATTCTCAGAATCGCTGCCCAGAGCCCGAGCCTAGTGTCTGTCCTTGGTGCTGAAACGCAGCTTTTCCGCCCGCGGACTAAAATACTACCATGCTCACCCCAGCTAGACACTTCAGTGGGTAGGTAGGAGGTTTGCAAGGGGATGGGTAAGTTTCTGGTCAGAGAATCCGATCTAGCCTTTGCGGTGCCGGGAGCATCCAGGGTAAGTCCCCGGCCGGGAGACCCAGGACCTGCCTGCTGCAGAATAGACAGCATAGGGCCGCGGACCCGAGAGGCGCCCTCTCCACCGCGGAGCCTTCTCCCGCGGATCCGAACGGCTCCGTCTCCGCAGTGGAGCCCTCTCCCGCGGACCCGAGAGGCGCCCTCTCCCCCGGTAGCCTTCTCCCGCGGACCGGGAGCGGAGCCCTCTCCCGCAGACCAGAGAGACGCCCTCACCCCCAGCCAGCAGCCTTCTCCCGCGGACCCGAGCGGCGCCCTCTCCCACGGACCGGAGCGGACCCCTCCGCCCGCGCCCTTTTGTCTCCCGCCGATGTCGCCCTGCCTCACCGTCGCGGTCGCACAGCTGGATGGCCTCCAGACTGAGGTTCTTGATCTCCTCACACGGGCTGCTGGGGCTGCTGAGGGCATGGTCCAGGCGCGGCACCTCCATCTTCGCGACCCCGCGTCGAAGCCAGGCGCCGGCGGCGGCCGGCGGGGCGAAGGGCGGGAAAGGCCGGAGACGGCCGAGGGCGACGGCAGCCTCCGGTCGGGAGCCGCGGCCGAGGCGACGGCGGCGGCTAAGGCTACGGCAGGGACGGCGACAGCGGCGGCGGCGGCGGCAGGAGCTCCTCCGAGCGCGCGGCTCGCAGTCTGAACGCCGGCCGGCGCGAGCGCGGGGAGGAGCGCGCTCTCGGCGGGAGGGAGGGAGGGAGGGAGGGCCGCCCGCGCACGCGCACGAGGGGGGGGGGAAGAAACGCTGGCGGCGGGTGGACGCGCCTACCTGCCGGCACCCGGGGCCCCGCCCCCCGCCCCGCCGCCGACCGCGCGCAGGCCCCGCCCCCTGCCCTCCGCGCGCGCGCGCGCGGGCTCCGCCCCCGGCCTGTGGCGCGCACCCACGCGCGCGCGCGCGCGTAATCTCACCCGCGGGCGCGAGGCTGTCTCTCGGTCGCCGCCCTCCCTCCCTCCCTCCCTCCCTCCCTCTCCCTCGCTCTGTGGCGCGCACCCGCGCACCCACCTGCGGGCGCGCAGACCGCGGTACCCCGGGTCCTGGCACGCTCGCGCGCGCACGCGCACGCGCGCCGGGCGGCCTCCCCGAGAGCCCCGCCCTCCCCCCGGCCCCTCCCCCGCCCCCCCCCCCCCCCCCCCCCGACCCCTTGCGGCGCGCACGCGCCCTCGGCTCTCCCCTGGGGCTGCCGCACGCTGGAAGCGAAGGACGGCGGAGCGAGCGCGCGAGGAGCGCGGGCCGTGGGAAGCTGCCCGGCGGGTCGCGCGCTCGCCGAGCCAGGACGACTTGGCTCTGTTTTTTTTTGTTTTTTTTTTTTTGCACAATGCCAGGTAGAGCCGGATTGCCCACCCATGCTGCGGCGGCGAGGCGAGCGCGCGCGCGCAGGTTGGTTGTTGACCATAGATTGGGAAACTGAGGTCCGGGCCGCCCTGGGTCCCCACACCCACCCACCCCCGCTCCGCCCCCCTTTCCCATCTAACCCCGGGTCGGCGCGCCCCCCCGCCGACGTTCCTCACGAGGCCCTGCTGTGAGAAATGAGTCGCCACCTGAGGACTGCACCGGGCAGGGAGCGCGAACTCTGGTCGGTGCTGCAGGACAGGTGAGGCAGCAGCGGGAAGCCGCCCGCCGGCTAGCTGCAGAGGAGGCAGCCTCCGGGAGACAGCCACTTGTCAGCCTACCTTCTCAAGTCACTCATCTAAGGGACAAGTCTTCAGTGCTCTCTCCCTGGGCCGGGCATTGTTCTGGCTGCAAATGCAGGCAGAAGCGCATCACCTGTTCTTTGTTACAATAGAAAATGAAGAGGGACCTGTGGTCCTCCGGGCATGCTATACTTGCATGCCCCGTCCGTCGCTTTCAGTAGCACCTAAGATATTGCAGTGCACTCATGACGGTGCAAAGGTTTTAAAAATAAAGTCGATATAGGTGACAACCTGGTGACCTCTGTTCCCATTTGCTGATTCGGAATACTTTTTCTTTTTTCTTCTTGATATCACGGGATCAAAAGAAGCTCTTCTCCCCTTTGTATTGTTTATGGTTATTGGTAATTCTTTAAGTGCCTTGTTTACTGATTTTCCAATTTCAAACACTGATATTCACCATCAAAACAATTTACATATAGATCACTATATGCTACGTTTTCTAGTCACATCCATTTAGCCGTAAACAATTACATCTAATTAATCTCATAAAATGGAAGGACCCACTTTAGATAAAATAAGCCCATGAGAAAGCTTGGCACAATTGTGAGATGATAAAAAAAATCTGTGTAAGGTAATTTGATATCATTAAGTGAAATGTCCTCATTATGAACTTAAGAATTAGTGAAGATGGATCTCTGTATTGAAGTTTAGAAAACATTCCGGTATTAAGATAGGAGAGTCCCTAAGGGGAGAGGAAATTACTACCTGTCCAGAGAAATGGCAAGACAGTAGTTATGTGAATTTCGTATGTTCCAAAGGCTAGCTCAGTAGAACTAGCTTGGATATTGACACCAAAGCACAGTGGGTTCATCTTTCAGAGAATTCTCAAATTTACAAATCACAAAAGGAACTGTAAACTACAGAAATAGTTTACTTACCATCAAAAAAATATAACATGCATACATTAAAACTTTAATTCATACAAATATTATCACCTGGTATATTCAGGACAATATACTAGGTGGTGAGAATATATATCCCAAGTGGGGATCACATTCAGTCAACTGCAAACAGAGAACATCATGGGCAAAGAGAGTATATTAGTTACTTTTCATGACCATCACCAAATTGCTGACATAGCTTAAAAGAGAAAAGGTTTAGCTTGGTTCAGTTTCAGTATAGTCTGTCATGGTGGGAAGACATGGTCCAATAATGGCGATGAAAAAGCGTGGATAGTGGCAGGAAGCAGACAAGGATAATGCACCTCCAAGGCCCGGTCTCCAGTGACCCACTTCTCCATCCAGGTCTCACTTCTCAAGTTCTCCTCAGTCTCCCAAAGAGCTTCACCAACTAGACCAAAAACCTGAGGCAGATATTTCAGCTTCAAACCCTAACAGGGAAGGCAGGAGTTTGCTTTCTGTAACTGCTAAAAGTGCCTCAGTACTCAAAAAGTAGCTGAGTTGAGAACCAACAGAATGGCCATGAACCATCATAGTAAGAGCAAGGTGCCTTTAGCAAACACTATGACATTTACTTTCCAGGCCAGACATGTACCAAAGTACCAAAGACAAGCTACCTTTCAGTCGGAAAGAGCCACCAGACCGAACTGAGAAATCACGGGCAGAAATTGTAGTCACTCACTTAAAGCAAACTACTAGAAACAACTAGGAATAGGATAGAATGCCGTTGTAGACATAAAAGGAAGTAGAAGTCACCATTCTATTCCAATAACCTTTGGCACAATCCTCAAGTTCGTGGAACCTTTTTCTAATGTCCCCAGATATCATTTAAAATAAGACATATCACTTACCTATTTGAGGTGTCCATTGGCATGGTCAAAACCCCTATCTTTTGAGCCCAAGCTCAAATGGTACAATCTCTGTAAATACATTCCCCTCTGCCAGTATCCTTCTTGTTTAACTTTCACAGTTGTTACTTCCCATTCTCTTATAAAGACAACTATGTTATGTATGTTATGATTTGTAAGTTAGTGTACATCAAGAATTGATTCAAATTTGAGAAATCCCTCAGTCATATCTTAATCAGCACCTTACCCAACATTGGAGCCCTTGACAAGAAACTATCTTTTTATAGTGATGAAGTCCTCATGTATTAATCTAAACTCTTCTTTAGTTTGAGTACAAACATGCCTCCAACAAGGGTCTTACTTTTTCCTCTTTTAGTATTTGTTGTGTGACGAAAACTTTTCCTGGGGAGATGCAACACACACGTCTACTCACCCCAGGCAGGGAGTCCTCAACAGACCAAAGTATGGACACCACCAAAGTCCAGCTTGGTGAACCAATGAGTTTTATTGGGGTTACTTACAGGAGTATGGGTGAGGGGTTACTTAGAAGGAGCAGAAATGATTCAGACTGCTGCGTCACCAAGTCCCCCACCCCCAGCACAAGTGCCAGCTCACAAAAGCTGGATAACCTGGAGCACACTGCACAGCCTGTAGGCAGCTCAACAAGTTAGAAAGTGTCCTTTCCAAGTGGCTGGTTCAAACCTCTTCCAGGCAGCTCAGCAGGTTTCTGATTCTTCCATACAGCTGGCTGGTCTGGTCTCAGAGTTGTCTTTGCAACTTTTCTCCTCTGAGAGTCTTCTTTGTGGCTCTGCTGCCTTTTGTCTGGGGTGGACTCTCAGCTTTTACTGCTTACTCTGGGAGGGAGAGCCTAGTGGTAAGTTTCAGGGACTTCCTAAAGCTACTTTTAATTGTTTACTTTCTGGTTTAAGGAGCTTTCTGTAGATGGAATGTTATCTTGGATGAAAGTGTTACGCAACAGTATTAATCAATAGCAGTTCTCTCACTTGTGTGTATTCAAACCTACAGCTAAACAGTCCCACTTCCTTTGAACCTTTCTTCATTTGAGCTTAGCTGAAGACTGAGAACCAATTCTTCTTTCAAACATTGGTGATATCACATTGTACTGAGTTCCTCTATCACTATAGGCACTCACCTTCGGGAGCTGAAATTCTGATAAATCCGTGTGTAAAAATACTAAGTTTAAAATTTTAATACAAATATAAAGGAAAACATAGTGGTCTATCATGATCTATCTTTGCTCTATGTCAGACATCTTGTAGTGCAACACAAGATAAGCTTTTCTGTCAGTTATAGTTAGCTGTTCATACAACCTGACCTTGTAAGTACAGATGAACTTATACTTCTTCCCAAACATTTTTATTTCCCCTGCGGCATAGTTTTAGGCACGTATTATTAGAGTCTCCCAAGTACTATACTCTGTACAATATGCTGAATCATTAAATTCAATTGCAATACATTGAATGTGCTTATTTATATTACTTCAAATTGCCTAGGATTTTTATCAAAGCTGAAGGAAAGAAGGCAACAGAACTTTTGGGTAGGCTAAATCTGTCTTTATGATCTACACCAGCATATCCTAGTTCTCTATGCCTAGGTAAAAATCAAAAAGAGAACCAAAACCATAGAAATAATCACAAAATAATAATACATAATAAATGAGGGCAGTGGTTTTTAAGTTTCTTCTCATAATATTGCTATAACCTTTCCTAGGCCTTTATTATGAACAGCAGGACAAAAGAAAATTCATGATTGATAGGAAGTTGAAAGCAACTGAAATATTCTAAATTAATTTACCTTGAATCAAATAGTGCCTGGACTTATGGAGATCAAATGAGATAATGCATATAATAATACTGTATGAACTGTAAATACAAAGTTAGAATATCGTTATTTTGGGAGACTTAGAATCTCATTTTAAAAAAATGTAATTATCTTTGTAGTACAAAATTCTTGAACTAGCTCAGTAATTATTTTAAAACACCAAAAAACATCTGTATTTGGATTAAATTTATGATTATAGTGCTGAGGCTTTTAAGACAAGACGATAGTTCAACATATGCAAATTAGTTAATGCACTATAATAACATAATGAAAAATAAAAGTACGATCATCAATAGATACAAGAAAAGAAAACATTCAGCAATATCAATATCCTTTCATGTTAAAAATGCCTTCAAAATTGTAGTTATACGAGAAATATACCTTGACAAAATGAAGGCCAGATATTACAAATGAACAGGTAATATCAAACCAGTGAAAAGCTTTTTAGCTCTAAACCAGGACTGAGACAGAAATGCTCATTAATACCACTTATTTTCAGTAAAGTACTGAAAGTCTTTGCTAAAACTATTAGGTGGGGACAAAAACATCCAAATGGGAAAGGAAGAAGCTAAGTTGTTTATTTACAGATGATTAAGTCTTATATATAAAAACCTCCAAAAATACCCCAAAAGTCAGAATAAATTCAGTAAAGTTGAAAGATAAGAATTCAACATACAAAAGTTAGTTGTGTTTATATATATGAATGAAGAACTGTCTAAAATAGAGAACAGTAAGCAATCTCATTTTCAGTAGCATCCGAAAGAATAAAAAGGGCCCTGGAAAAGTGACTCAGCCATTAAGAACTCATACTACTCTTATAGAGGACCAGAGTTCAGTCCTCAGTATATTTACCCGGCAGCTCAGAACCAACTCCAAGAATCCAACACCTTTTTCTGGCCCACACAGTTACCTGAACTTGTGTACATATCCTCACTCAGACATATGCACATAATTCAAAATAAAGTAATCTTTAAAAAAATAAAATGCTTAAAGGATAAACTTAACCAATGATGTGGATGATCTGTAAAATAAAAACTTTGACTTTATTCAATGTCAAACATTGAATAAGTAACTTTTAAATGGCAAATAAGTGGAAGTTATCAATTTGCTTATCTATCTGAAAAATAATATCAAAATGTCTATAGTAACCAATGTAATGTACAGATTCAATGAAATTTCTAACAAAACTGCAGTGACATTTTTCCACAGAAACACAACAAATCATCTTTAATGTCATGAAGCTATAAAATGTTTCAAAGAACTGAAGTGATCTTGAAAAAAGTGAAAAACTGGAAATACCACACTTTATGATTTTAAGCTATATTAAAAAGCTGTTCTGCTCAAAACATTAGGCTACTAGCATAAAGAGACATGTTGACCAGTGGAACCAAACAGAAAACTAAGAATTAAACTCAAGTGTATAAAGTCATTTTTTATAGACATACCAAGAATACACACTAGAGAAAGGTTTCAATAAATGAGATTTAAAAAAACTGGATTTACCTTAGATAAAAATAAAAATTGGACCTTCTCTTATACCATACACTAGAATTAATTCAAAATCTATTAAAGTCTTAAACACAAGACCCAAAACCACAAAAAAGAAAAAACATGAAATAAACATTTAACATAGATCTTAAAAGTGGATTTTTGGATTTGACACAAAAAATGCAGGCATCAAAAACAAAAATAGATGAAGACTGCATCAAAGTGGAAGGTATCTCCAGAGCAAAATAAATAACACGGAGACGCATCCGAAGTAATGCAAAAAAAATTGTAGAATGTATGTGTATAAATGTTATACTAGTATATAAAAATCTCAATAGCAAAATACAAGTAAGCCAATTCAAAAATGGACAAAGGACCTAAACAGGCATTTTCCCAAAGACTTCCAAAATACCTACAGATATAAGAAAAGATGTGAGATGCTCAATATCACTAGTCATAGAAGTAAAAACCCACAATATCAACTAACATAGTCATCAAAAGGTCGAAAGAGAACACGTGTTGGCAAGAATATGGAATAAAAGGAAGCGTGTACCCCATTGAGGGAATGTAAATTGGTACAAGCACTATTGGAAAAACAGTATGGGGTGTCTCAAGGTGATAGGAGGAGACTTACCATACGGCCCAACAATTCTACCACTGGACATTGTCTAAAAGAAAGAGTATCTTGTGATATATGTGCACTCCCGTGTTTGTTTACAGTATCATTCAAGGCTGAAATACAGGGAGAGTTTGAGCATCCATTGATTGGTGAATAGGTAGTAGATTATTATTTAACCTTTAGAAAGGAGATCCTACCATTGGTATGAGCATGAATGGGTGTTGAGGACACTATGCTAAATAAAGTAAGCCAGACACAGTATGGTGGACACTACAGGATCTCACTTGTGTGTGAAATTAAAAACAACAACAAAAAGCTAAAGTTAGTAGTAGAGTGGCTGGCAGTGGTTATTTGTGCATGGTAGAGGGAGAGAGGATCTACTGGTCAAAGAATCCAAATCTTAGCTGTGCTGTGAGTATTGGAGACCTATGTATAGAGTGATGTTTATGGATAACAGAAATGTGTGCCATAGTTGGAATTGGCTCCTACAGTGGATCACATATACTCCTACAGAACATACACACACAGCTTAAATGAATGACATGATAACTTTGTTCTAATCATTCATAAAAATGTATATATACATATGCATCTAAGAATGATAAACATGAATTTATATTTGTCAGTCATAGCTCAATACATCTAGAGAGTTTTTTAATTAAAAAAATGAAAATAATATCCAGTGGGTAGGGAGTCAAGGCTGAAGTTTTAGCTCATTTGCTCTCATTGACTCCATAGGTCTTGGTAAACTGGCTACTTCTTCCCTCATTTGAGGTCCTGTTCAATGTTTATCATCATCTTATGTTCCCATCTCCAGCTTCTTCAGTCTCTTCCTTTTCCCTGATTCTACCCTGGTCTCTGCCCACCATCAAATATCCTTGATTTTAAAAAATAGCTTTACTTGAACAAGTTACTATTTGTTCCACTATAGATAAGAAACTCATCATGAACTGGGAAGTGCTGTAAAAGTTATTCATCACCCCGTTTACTACTAATCCTCATAAAACTTATCACCAATCTATAGCTTTATGATTCTTATTCTTCAAAAGTCATTTCAGTTTGGTAAGGTTTTCAAATCACTAAAATATCAAGGCCTGCTTTCATCTGCATCCGCTTTGATATTTCATCATTTTATTTCTGCTGAACCTCTGTAGTGCTGACCTCTCCTAGATCTCTTCCTGCCTGTGAGCTTAATGCTTCTCAACTTTGCCTTCTCTTGAGGGTAGATACTCTTTTAAGTTCAACCTTTGACATTATGTTCTTTCCTGTTTAAAGCTGTTTCCTTGAGGAGTTCATGTATGCTCATGAATTTTAATCTCTTCTCCATGCTTAAAACCTCACCTTTATTTTCAAATTCCCATGTCTGGTCCCCAAATCTAAACAAGGTATTGCCCCATTTCCAGTTGTTTAATGAACATGTTTATGAACATTCTTGCCATCGTTTCTAATTAATCAATTTCTCCTCTAATTGGCTCACTTCCTGATTTTCTCCAGGATAGTCATTGGCATCATCCTTTTTATGTCCCCCGTTTAATCTGAACTACAACTAAGATCAGTGCATGAGAATGGTTAATCAGTACTTGCTCAACAAATTGTAATGCTGCCATTTTCTATCATGAATGCTGAGATATTATTAGGCAGACATAAAATTGCAAAGTACTGCTGTAAGGTTAATCTGTTTCATTGGATGAACAGAATGGAGGGATTGGGAGATTATTACAGTTTAGGCAAAACTTTAAGGTATTATAGATTAGGAATTATTATAATTAGAGTTGGAAAAAGGAAAAATAGATAATGATAGTGATGTTGCAGCATTCTCTCTCCAAAATTGTCAAAAATATTAAAATTGTCAGTATTTTCTATGGTAGTTTACTTATTTTGTAATACGTAGTACCATATAATAATGCCATAGGAACAACAGTTGTATGTTTTCCCAATATTTAAAACCCAGTAGCTATTGTCCAATGATATAACAGTAGATTATTAAAAGCTAAAGCAAAGTCTTTAGGTGTTGCTATTTTAAGTTTACAAATAAATAAAGCTAAATAAAAATGGCCTATAGATCAGACTGTCTTGAACCATCCTCTGCTGTCACTAGTCAAAATTTAAAGGAGTTTGTGTTGATGGGAGGAATTTGGGGATGAATGGAGTGGGGAAATGAAAAGTCTTCTTTATGGATGAAAGTAGTCAGTGTTTTTCTCTTCTCCTCAGTGGTCCTGCTTTTTTCTATTCATCATCTACTGCAGAACATCATCTTATTCAAGGGTATAGACTTGACTAAGACCTTTTGAGAACTCTTGGAAATAAAGTCTCCATGATGAGCCAAGGGGTAGGTAAGTGTGTAGTCATAATAAGTCATAATATAGTCATAATTTGCCTCAAATTATTTTTCTTGTATTCATACACATATTTTATAGGTTGTGCATTGCCTTATGCTAAAAGTGAAGTCATTTTGTTTCAGGGATAAAAGAGTGACAGGATAGGGTCTTGAATTGAACTAACTATGTAACATAGCCTCTCTACCAAGTGTTGGGATGATAGGTGTAAACCATTATACCCAACATCCTTTTGTTCTTTACTGACAAATAGGACCTTTGGTGTATTCTAACACAGTTCAAAACTGCTCCCCAGAAACACTGATTTTGTGTCTCTTTAAATATAGCACATAGATGGCCTGGCAACATTTTATCTCAGCAGAATTAGAGCAGCAGCTCTCATAATGATGAGCATGTCTTAGTTTCCCAGAGTTTTTTTTTTTTCCTAAGCTAAAACAAATGCCAATAGAATACCTAAAAGTCTTCCCATTTTTGTAAACATTCTGCAGATCCTGCTTTGATTGTACTGTTGCATCAGTGCAATGTATTTCTTCTCTGTTAGAGACTCATTAGTATAAGAATGGCTAATTTAACAGTCACATCTGGTCTTGAGACTTTGTCTGTAATAGTTATGTATGCAAAACTATCATACTATATTCAGGTAAAGTTCATTTTCCAGATCCTATCTGAACTAGGCTTCCCCAAAAAGCCATAATGAGAATTTTTTAGGTAAGTAAACTCAACACACACACACACACACACACACACGCGCGCGCACATGCACACACACATATGCACGGGGGGGGGGGGGGGGAGAGAGAGAGAGAGAGAGAGAGAGAGATATTATTGACTGTTGAATTTTTTTTGTGATGAAACAAAGATACTTTCCTACACGATTTTCCTACAAGATTTTTTTCCTACTGCCAATTATCACTTTTATAATACAGAAAAGTGGCTATATACTTCTCAAGGTGAGATGTCAGTAGTTATTCATAGGAGGGACTTCAAGAAAGTGGAAATAGTGAAGGGTGTGTAGATAGAGGATGTTACCTTTTGCTAACAAGACCCTCTGTTTTGGGAATACATACGTGAGACATTATTGTTCCAGTCTGTGTTCATGTATATTGTATAACATTCATAAAAGTGTCAAATTCTCTCGGTTGGTGAACTTTTTCTTTTCCTACCACCATTCCTCTGTAGAAACCTTATCCATAATAGCAAAGACAAGTTGTATATGGGTATGTCTAACACTGGGAAAACTGTTACCTTCTGCTTAAAGAACAAGCTATCTGTCTTGTTTTATTGAGTCAACATTTGCTGACTTATCTTGGAGGCACAGGTGACAAATATTCTTCATATGTCTGTCTGTCTGTCTGTCTGTCTGTCTCTGTCTCCCTCTTTCTTTCCCCCTCCCTCCCTCTATCATATCTCTCTATCCCTTTTCTTTTTCTCTCTTCCTCCCCCGTCTCTGTTTTTCAAAACATCTCTTCTGACTTTCTTTTCTCTAGACAAAATCTTTGCAAATAGTGCAGCCTGCCTCAAGATTGTGTCCACGTTATATCTGAATGTGCTCTAAAGTTTCATGTTTTCCTTTTAAAGACACAGTGTCTAGATCTACACACCATAAGTGAAGGTGGTCTGCTGCCTGGGGAGCAGCTTGCAGACATCTGAACCGTTTGATTACAAGTGCTTTTCGGTTACTTATCAGCTTTTCTATATTCAAAACTTATCTTCAGTATTTGTCAGTATGTGACTGTTCATATTCATAGTTGATCAGAATAGCTTTATCATTCCACATAACAGCCTTCTGCAACTTTTGTGTTCTAAGCTGAAAAAAAAATGCCAACAGGTCTCATTCTTACAAACCATCGATGATATTAGAACTAATTATGCCTAACATGTAAAAATTATATAACTGTTATAGTATAGTTATATTTCACACAATATCTTGGTTGTTCTATATCTAAGATTTTTAAATCGGGATATGTCAAGAAGCTTGATATTAAGAGTTTCTTTTTAGGATAAATGTCATGTACCCACCAAGTATTACTGGCGTCACACATTTTGTGGGACAGATTCTGAGCTAATCTTCCATGCTATGGGAGGTGCTGACAGTTCATGAAATGCACAGAAGAAGTCTCACTTCAGATATTCATAGAGCAGGTCCCACAGACCTCTGTGGATTTAGCTCATGTTGCAGTAGTGATAAAGAGGACTATCTCACTGGTCTCTCATATGATGTTTCTCTTAGAATACAGTCCTGCATTGAGTTTAATTTTCCTTCACAAAAACGTTATTCAGCTTAAATAGTGATTTATCTGCCTCACCAAACTGAGTTCTCAGTAGTAGTACTTGTTCCTAAGACTGCAGAAGAGGAGGCTGGCTGATACAGGTCAGCTTAGTCTAGCTGCTTGCAAAGGTAGCTCCAAAGAAGACTGAGCACCATCAGTTCATTCTTGCCAAGCACTACATTGCTAATCCTGTTGTCCTGGTTTCTACTCCATATTATTTCTTCCTTTTATGGATCAATAATTGGCTATAGATAATTTTCTTTAATTTCTTGTTTGATAATAGCCAGGAAGGTGTATGGAGGCAGAAAAAAGAACAAAGCCAAACAGATAGATACTCATTGATCTGTTGTAGGCTCTCAGGAGTCTCTCCCTTATGGGCATCTTTATACATGTGAACCCAAACAAGTGTTATTAAAGATCTCCATCAGCATGTGTCAGTCAGACTGGTCTGTCTGGTGTCATGGGAACAGAACAAATCAAGCCCTTGACTTCTCTATGCTTGTGTGACAGTTTCCCAGTGTCTTGAAACCACCCTAGGTCGTTGTAAAGCACAGCACATGGCGGCTTTGCTTCATGCCTCCATGTGCAGTAGTAGACGGTATAAATGACACTCACTAGTCTCGCCTTACAGTTGAGCAGCCATATCTGTACAAGCCAGAACTAGGATTGATATTTTCCCCTGACACCTCACAAGTAGGTAATTTGGGTATGTTAAATTTGTTTCAAAGCTCCCATTTTGTGTTTTTTTTCCCTCTCACTTTTAAGGTCTGTGTGTCTTTGTAAAGACAATGGCTTCTAAGTGGAGGGAGAAGATAAATTTATTGGCAGTTTTATATGTCCATGTATTAAGAGAATTTAAAGCATACAGTTCTATTCTAGAAACTTTGAACATACCTGTTTGCTATCCCTCAACTCAGAAGCCACAGACCCTTCCATCCTCTCTGCCTCCTTCTCTTTCCTCCTCTCTCATGGTTGGCGGGTATTGGGGAGAAAGTCTGCCCCATCATGGCTTCGGCTTAAAAACTAGAATCAACAAATGCGCTCTCCACTGGTTTGGTTAACAAACGTTAACAAATATTTTTGGTTCTTATTGCAAAGCAATAAGTGCTAAGACAATGGCAAGTAGAAGATTTTATTCTGAGAATGAATACCTATGAGAGAGAATATTACCTTTATGCAAATAACCTACTTCTCCTGATTTGGTGCATACTAAAAATATTGGGGGTTTTTGTTTTGTTTTGTTTTGTTTTTTTAGAAAGAAAGACATTGGTAGCTATCTGGGAGACCATCATCCAAATGAAAATGTGTAAAATATGGCACCATGCCTTTAGTTCATTTTTTAAATTTTTTATGGTACTGCTTTGTTTTATGATGGTACAGTTAGCTTTGGCATTCTCTGTAGTAAACATATACTTTGGGGTATACTTTCCTAAAATTGTAAATAAGGAGAATGAGAGAAATAAAAGAACATTAAAATTTTCCCAAGTTATTTATAAATATTGATGTATCATATTTTTACATGAACAGTACAACTTAGAATAAGACAAAAAGTAGCAGGAGCTGTGGTAGAGGAAGTAACCATTTCTGTGCAGGAACAAAAATGACAGATTAATTTCAGGTGTGGAAATCTATATGAATAAATACTCATCCCAAGTACTGAAAGGACAGTAAACTAACGTGCCATGAGGCTGCTTTCCTGAATACACACCACACATGGACTAAGCCAACAGCTGAACTCTGTAAAGCCACAGTTCTCAACCTCTAGGTTGTGACCCCCACAGGGGTCACATATCAGATATCCTGCATAGTAGATATTTACATTAGGATTCATGACAGTAGCAAAATTAGAGTTATGAAGGAGCAATGAAATAATTGGTGGTGGTGGGAGTCACCACAGCATGAGGAACTGTATGAAAGAATTGCAACATTGGGAAGTTTGAGAACCACTTCTGTAAAGGGATATGAAAGTCATTCCCTGTATGCCCCAAAGTGCTTTTTCTTCTGCAGCAGAATCAGGGGGAAATTGCATTCTTTTAATAGAAAGTGTGAGAGCTGTATATGCAGTGGCTTTTTAAACAAAGAATATGAGATAATGTAATGGACAGTGTACCATTTTATTTAAGGAAAAACCTTGTGAGTGTAATAAAATACCTTCATATTATTTCTCAGATTAATTCTTCTCGGTTCTGCTTTTCTTTCTAACTATAAAAATCATTCAAGTTGGTCTAACCATGCTGTTATTTGAAAATCTGGGCTTTTGAATATTGCTTCAATTCTGGTTGATTTTGAATACATATCTATCATATAATTACTGTATTTTTTCTTTACCTACATGCACCTGTAATAAAACATTTTATATTAACTTTTCTCTTTTCAATTTTTACTTTAATAGGTTTTTCATTGAGACATGCATGCATTTGTGTATGAGATTTCCAATTACCTCTTCTGTATAAGCTCTGTGCTTACAAAATATAGAATAGTCTATATATCTTTTTTAGTACATTATGAAATTATGACATTATTTTCCAAGTAATTCATGTTTCCTTACCAGGACCATTCATTCTTCTTGAATTTGCTAGTCCTATGCTACTAACTCATCACTCAACCTTATCTTTCACTATAGAGTGATAGTACAGTTTTTTAAAGATAAAAATGTAAGAAAATAATTCTAATACGGTAATTTTTTTGTTGTTGAAAAACCTGAACATGGATTATTTTTCCTAGGGG